AGTATTAAACTGTGTACACCCTGGAGGTTTAGGGGATACGAAACACAGTGGTGTTATCAAATTTAAAACATATAATTAATAAATGGGTGAAAATCGCTTGTGTTCATAATGGGCAGCATTAATATACCCACATGACAGCTAAGGTCAGAAGAGCTTTATTTAACAGCTGGTCTTATGTCTGTGACCCCACCTGTTGTTAATTGATAAGCCTGAAACATGCACTTGTCAAGGTTCAGAGGCAAATTTTGCAAATATGGCAGTAGCCATCGATCATCTTAAGATAAGATAAGATAAGATATACTTTATTGATCCCAAGTTGGGAAATGTTTTTGTTACAGCAGCATACTACTTTGTTCTACTCCACTACAATTCAGAGGTTAACCTGGTATTTTTACTCCATTACATTTATTTTTGTTACTTTGCAGATTCTGATTAATGATGTGAAATATAAACAACCCTTAAATCAGACTTTAGTTAAACCTGAGTCAAATTCAGGGAAGGTGATTATCAAGTGCCAAAATAAACTATGCAATATATTAGACGTTAAGTACTTTGTCAGACTTAATATTTATCTGTTGATACCCCCAACTTTTTTTTCTTATTCAAAAGAAGACCTTAAGTTAAAGTATTCTTTAATGTTTAAATAAAGCCTTATTAGTTTGCCTGTTTTGCACATCCTCCTATTAATATCTTAATATTAATTATAGTGAGGGATTAATCGGAAAACTCAGACTTTGTTTTGAAAATAAAATAAAATCATTACATCTCTAAGACACAACACTAGGACATTATTTCAAGTTGGCATGATTGAAATAAGAAAATCTAAAAGCAGGCAGCCAATATCATAATCTCAAAAGCAGAAAAAATACACATTTAGGCATTGCAATTACAGTTTAAAAAAAGTGAACATTAATCCTAAATCTGAGACATGACGTGACTCCAGATATCTACGTGAGAGTCCAACCCCTCCCCCACCTGGACCTCCACATTTGAATTTAGGCTGAACTAAACTGTTTTATTGTAGAGATCACTACAGTATCTTCTTGATATTTTCTATTCTATATTTCTATCATTGACCTTCTACTTTCCCCCTATTTTGTATGTAGGCTACTCTTAATATTTAAATGTTTTCATCAAATATAACATTCAACAACAAAATTCAATAACGTGCTTTAACCACTAGGGGTTAAAAAACCAGTGGTCTAGTTAAATTCTAAACACAACTGGCCCACTTCAGTTGTGACATTTAAATTCTAAACACAACTGGCCCACTTCAGTTGTGACATTTAAATTCTAACCTCAACTGGCCCACTTCAGTTGTGACATTTAAATTCTAACCTCAACTGGCCAACTTCAGTTGTGACATTTACATTCTAACCTCAACTGGCCCACTTCAGTTGTGACATGTAAATTCTAACTTCAACTGGCCCACTTCAGTTGTGACATTTAAATTGTACCTTTTAAATTCTTCCGACAGAATTTAGAGGAATATCCTCATAAATGGTTGGTGATAAAAAACACATTAAAACTTTCATTCAACAATACATTCAAAATCAAAGTCAATTTCAGAGAACTTACCAAGGAAAACCCCCGCTCTGGAGCTTTCTCCCTCTCAACCAGTGCTTTTATGCTCCACACAGGGACAGAAAACCAAAGACACACCTTCATACCCATATATGTGGGGAAAGGTCATGGCCTCTGGTGTGCAGGACTGGATATGTCCAAACATATTCTCCTATGGTATGGCCTTAACCCATTTTGGGGCTTCAGTACTTTTCCATTGAGTCAGGGGTCTCCTGTGCACAGCTTGCTGTGAGTGAAGACAACTGTCTCCCCTCTTTAAACAGTAACACCCCGTAGTGATAAACTATAATAGGCCTTAAACTCAATTTACCAAACCCCTTGTGTTTGTAAATACTGTGATTATAGAACAACATGAAATATAATGCATTTTCATTGTGGGTTATACAAGAATATATTTGATTATATTTGATTATATTAACTTTAGTTTTAATTATTCAACTTAATATGGAGACCTCAACAGGTTCCAGAGATATGGCAAATATACCCAAATGACCACAGAGGTGGGTTTTGTTTTTTCTAAACCTCTCTATAAAGGTCAAATTTCACTTGTTTTGCATCAATCTTGATACACGGTACTAATTATATGTTTTAGTTTGGATTCCTAAAGCTTTTAGTCTACTATCCCATCATTCAAGGGTGGTTTTCACTATAAGTAATGGGGTTTTTTTGGACGGAAACTACAATTTACAGTTTTTTACTATGTTCAATCTGAATTTACTTTAAAAATAAAATCTATAGTAGTAATCAGGTTAGTAGTAATTTGTTTTGTTACGTTTTGTTTAAATTTAGCATGAAAAAATGATGTATTCCCTCTTACAGCTACAAAATAGCTGAGGTGTTATCAATGACAAATCTGAAATGATTTCCCAGAGGGTCTATGAGCAAAGATACACCATTTATTAATTTTCTGACCACACACACACACACACACACACACACACACACACACACACACACACACACGCACGCACGCACGCACGCACGCACGCACGCACGCACGCACGCACGCACGCACGCACGCACGCACGCACGCACACTGTACCACACACTTGTCACTTCCGTGTTCTTCTTCAACTCATCTAGCTCCTCAGTCAGGGGCCCTTTCTTATTTCATTAATTTCCCCTCCTCGACTCCTCGAATCCTCGGTCCTCCGGTAGTGACCCGGAAATGGATTTCAGCGCGCCATGTTGAAGGACATCTCATTTCTCTAAATGCACTTCGAGGACCGAGGACCGAGCATCGAGGAGGCTCCCTGGAGGAGCTATAATCGAGGATACACTTCCGGCAACAGTGATGTTTAAAAGAGTCGTGACGCACGGCCGGACTTATCTCAGCCAATGACAGCTCTGCATGCATCCCCTGGATATTATTTTATTAATTGCTACGACGCGATGTTTACAGTGAAAACAGCTGTGAGGTCCGTGCAGAAAGCATAGCAGTGTGTATAATATATATCACTCAGTATAACAGGCCTACATTACTCTCTGTATTGGTATGCTTTAGTTTAGTAGATATCTACAAACAAAGAGTCGATATTTTTCTAAAATCATTTAGTGCTTCACATAATAAAATATAAATATATAAATATATATGTGTGTGTGTGTGTGTGTGTGTGTGTGTGTATATATGTCCGCATCTGTAGCCTGTTATTGTCTCATTATACCGCACTGTGAATGAATTAAAAGTAAATGTATAAGTCGTCATGAACACAGTTCTGTCCATCAGACAGAGTGCTGTGCCTCCTGTCATCATTAATGGACGTCTCTTTAAAATGACCGCTCAGAGGAGAGGATTTCTCATTTCTCTAACCGCCTGCTGCTTCCCCTCCTCTCTCCTCGGTTCCCCTCCTCTCTCCTTGGTTCCCCTCCTCGACTCCACTGCTCGCATCTCCTGTGGGCGGGACTAAGACACGAGGATAGGAGTCGAGGAGGGGAATTAGAGAAATGAGAAAGGGCCAGGGACTTTTGCTTTGAAACTGTCATTTTCAATTTTGCCTAGAGATCTAAAACAGAATTCCCATTGTATAGTATGTTAATCTATCAATGATAATGTCCTTATTTCCTTTTCTTATTCCAACACCTTATCACGTTTTCAAGAAATTCTTTCTGCTAAACAGTCCTGTTGAATGGAGAGGCTGTCATTATTTCCAACAGGACCATATCAGTAATACAGGATATGTTTAGTTCAGTTATATATTTGTATATAACTGAACTAAGTATATTTGTGAAGAAAAAAATATTGTGTTCCCTCTTACAGCCACAAAACAAAGAACCAATACATTGTCAACAACATATGTATAATTTCCTCTTCTTAAATGTGTAAAATAAGTAATTTAAATGTAAAACATAAAAAAAATGAACTAACATTATCAGGATGTGAAGCGCTTACGGTGTGGACGTGACTTCAAAGACGTCTATTAGTTTTTTACAGAGATTAGCATCAGTCAGCATGCTCACTGATATGCATGTTTCTTGATGTTTGTATTTTTATGGTTTATTGCACCTATTGTAGGTTGCTTCGGATAAAAGCCTCAGATAAATAAAATATTATATATTGTTACCTAATGTGATATTTAGTACTGATTACGTACGATTTACCCCTTCAGATCAAACCCCTGATTATTGCAGTAGTTTAATCTTAATACTTACCAAGGTTGATTCTCTTCATCTGGTCTCTCTCTTCATTCAGGGAGTTTTGCTGTGAAACTGTCATTTTCAGTGGAGAGGTTACCAACTATGATAATTGGATCAACTGAAGAAATTATTCACTTTAAAACAAATTAACCGAGCTGGTTTTGATTATAATTATTTCAGAGCAACTATTGTTCAATACAAATAATTATACATACATTCACTCTGAGCACATACTGTATGTTGAAATGAATATTAATAAAATGTCCATGAGTTGTGCAAATACCTTTTTATATTTTATATTTATAATTGTAGGTCATATTGCACACCTTAATAGACAGTGATGTGTTTTTTTTGAAATAATTCAGGATAAGTGATCGTCATATCTTGCTAAATAATTATTTGTATATCTGGCTACAGAAGTGAGAGTCACAAATTAAGAAGACTTACAGAGAGTGAGACGCAGGGAAATGTTGAGAGCAGCTTGTAGGATACACAGGAGTCCAAAACTCACAACAACCAGTCTGTTCATTTTCATTCCTGTGTGTAGAACCCAGAAACATGCACACACACGGAGGTTTATGGAGGCTGACTTGCACAAGTGGCTGTTTGAGAAACCTTACACTTTAAACTGAGATGTTGATTTTGTCTTTAATTTCTCACGCAATATTTATATATATATATATATATAAATTGATGATCTTTAAGTTTAAAATTAATCTTAGAAAATAAGGTTATTATAAACTCGACAACTCCAAATTGTTGGACTATGATTTCTGTCTTACCAGGCGCTGCAGCAGGCACCTTGAAGTCTTCAACAGAGCGGCGGGATGCAGCTTTCCTGTCTGAGACATCTTCAAGGTTTTCGTGTATCGTGGAGAGCTCATGTTCTTCTTCAAGGGAAACCATCTCATCAGTTGAGCCTCTGCAGAGTGCTGATGGTGTTTGTCAAAGTGTCTACTTTAAAGGGCACTTATCTTCCTTTATTTAATGATTCTCTCAGCATACACCTCTAACTCTCTCTCTCTCTCTCTCTCTTTCTCTTTCTCTTTCTCTCTCTCCTCTCTCTCTCTCTCTCTCTCTCTCTCTCTCTCTCTCTCTCTCTCTCTCTCTCTCTCTCTCTCTCACTCTCTCTCTCTCTCTTTCTCTTTCTCTTTCACACTCTCTTCTTCCTCATTTTGAGTCATCTGCCTTTGTTCCTCAACTAAGAGCTGGTTTAAAAAACTCTGAAGTTGCTGTAAAGTTGTGTAAATCTAAATCATAATCTGTGTTGATGCATATCTATGCATATTGATGCATTGTGTTATATTAATTATGTGATGTGTACTTTATTGAGGTGTTATATTAAAAGCTATATAGGCTATTATATACACTATACATGTCAAATGAAAATAAGCAACAACTCTCTGTGTAGCACATCAGATCAATGGTCTGTATTTGTTTTATTACAAAGGGGTTTGTCCCAATCAAATGAATTACATTTAAATTGAACATCGTGTTAACACATATTTAAAACTGCATTATAACATAATACACACACTATTATTGTTATTTATTTATTTTTTGAAAACCTACATTTAACCAGGTAAGTCCTGTTGAGATCAGAACATCTCTTTTCAAGGGGAAACCTTAGTAGTTCACACTAAGGTATAGTTATATTATAGTTAATGACGGGTATGGAAAAGACCAGAAAGTTGTAACAGAAGCAGCCGCGCCGAGATTGCAAAGTGACTCGAACCATGCACTTACATAAATATAAACATTATGCAACATTAACCAGACATATGCATATGATAATAAATACTATTCTTCATCGCCTAAAACTGCAAAACCACTCTTGTTCTTCCTGGTTTGAAGTCAAATGGTCTCTCTTCTTCCTTAATGTTCACAACTCGCTTGCTGTTACAACCTCTGCAGCTTTGACGTATTGATTCTTCTGTACTTTGTGTAATTTGGACTTTTATTCACAATTCACGCATTTATTTTTACTTCCAAAGAAAATCATCATTATTGTTGTTTATCAGTGACACATAATGCAAAGACATTTCATGTTTTTAAATGTTGTATTATCTGAATGACTATACTCTACCCTTATGTATTTGCACCAGAACTGGTTATCTCTGTACTTATTAGTTTGACAATTTTTAAAAATATCACTTACAATTTGACCACATTCACAATGACATTATCACCAATATCCGGTGTAAAATAAACCCCTGTAGTTAACTTACATAATCATCCAGTAGTACGCTAAGTACTGACATTACTTTTTTATAACAAACTCTGAATTCCTTTTAAAATAAAATAAAAATAGGAAAGCATCCATCCATACAAAATTGCACTTCCCTCTATACTTTGAGAACTGCTCTTCATCAACAAGACTTGGAGAAGACCCAAGTCCTCTTGGTGAAAATAAATGTTGCAACATTAATTTCTCATATGACTTACAAAAAAAACGTGTGACCTGTTTGTCAAATGCAGCTCAGTCTATTTTATAGTGAGGGATTCATCGGAAAACTCAGACTTTGTTTTGAAAATAAAATAAAATCATTACATCTCCAAGACACAACACCAGGACGTGATTTCAAGTTGGCATGATTGAAATAAGATAATCTAAAAGCAGGCAGCCAATATTATAATCTCAAAAGCAGAGAAAAGACACTTTTAGGAATTGCAATTACAGTTTAAAAAAAGTGAACATTAATCCTATATATGAGACATGACGTGACTCCAGATATCTACGTGAGAGTCCAACCCCTCGCCCACCTGGACCTCCACATTTGAATTTAGGCTGAAAATGAGAAATGCAACTTGTTCCTGTTTTTTTCATCATCGTTTTGTGGGACTAGATGTGGAGTTATGCCAATCTCTTCTCACATATCCATGCATTTGTATTATAACTGCAATGGCTATCTGTCCAGCTTATTCTTGCATCATCGTAATATATTTTTGCACAGTCTTCGTCCAGCTTCGAACTTCCATTTGGCTCACCGGTGTACCAGTAGCTGAAACCCCCAAAGGAAAAATAATAATAATACATTTCAACCTGACATCAACTCAAATCAAAATGCTTTATTGAGATTGATAGAGATAGAATAATAAATGTCTATCCTATGTCTGGTTTGTTATCTGACATGAAATAAGCTTTAAAAGGACATCACAAAATGTAATTGTGTTCAGAGAGGTTGGTAGGTTACTAATATACAAATAATTTAATGTGAAAATAACATAATTATGACATGAAGCTGCAGAGCGAGTGTCTGTCACAATGCACCTTGACAATAGAAAAGTGAAATAATGAGTGAACCTTGTGGTCAGCGGGGTCCCATCGACCCACTTCCATCTGCCCTCTGTCTCTCGATCAGTGAGTCCAATCCACACCTGCTTCAGAAAACGTGTTATGTATTCCTTGTTGTGGAGAGAAAAACGCACAATCACAACCACAATATAAACCGTGACATGCTGCCAACCACTTCTGTGACACACACACACAAACCAAACACACACACACACACACACACTCACCTGTTCTTCTCTGCTGTTGACAATCACCAGATCTGCCCCTTTTTGAAGACAGTCATCCCTACTCGCTTGCCAGTTTTTCTGGATAGGAGAAATGGTATAGAGACTACCGCTGAAGTACATCCATCCTTGATAAGAATAGTGGAAAACAGAAAGAACGATAAAACCGTAATACCAAAATTACCAGATGCTTAATCTACTAAATAAAGTACTAAGGTGGTATCTACCGTATGATATAAAGGCCCACCGGCTGAACAATTGATTTCATTATCAGACTTACCCCCGGCTCTCAGAGTCCTCCCCAGATCGTCTCTTTCCTCAGACAGGTTTTTGTTAGTTGCCACCATTTCTGAAACAGAAATTCTATTGTGATGTTTCTTTCCTTTTAATACTGAATAAAAAGCTTTTAGGGAACTTTGCTGAAAGCTGTCATTTTGAATGAGAAGTTATTATTTTCAAAAGAATCAGGTTAGTAGTAGTTTGTTTTGTTAACTTTTGTTTAAATTTAGCATGAAAAAATGATTGTATTCCCTCTTACAGCTACAAAAGAGCTGAGGTGTTATCAATGACAAACCTGAAATGATTTCCCAGAGGGTCTATGAGCAAAGATACACCATTTATGAATTTTCTGACCACTTGGGGTTGTTACACCATACCATAGGACACCAAACCAACTGAGACCTGTCGGTCCGCCGCATCTACGCACACACACACACACACACACACACACACACACACACACACACACACACACACACACACACACACACACACACACACACACACACACACACACACACACACACACACACACACACACACTGTACCACACAAACACCTGTCACTTCCGTGTTCTGCCTGAGAAAGTACACCTTTATTTATTTCATATACACCACCAATGTAGTATACCTTATACCCCTTCAGATCAAACCCCTGACTTTAGGGTAGTTTCATCTTAATACTTACCAAGGTTGATTCTCTTCAACTCATCTAGCTCCTCAGTCAGGGGCCCTTTCTCATTTCATTAATTTCCCCTCCTCGACTCCTCGACTCCTCGACTCCTCGACTCCTCGACTCCTCGACTCCTCGAATCCTCGGTCCTCCAGTAGTGACCCGGAAATGGATTTCAGCGCGCCATGTTGAAGGACATCTCATTTCTCTGAATGCACTTCGAGGACCAAGGACCGAGCATCGAGGAGGCTCCCTGGAGGAGCTATAATCGAGGATACACTTCTGGCAACAGTGATGTTTAAAAGAGTCGTGACACACGGCCGGACATATCTCAGCCAATGACAGCTCTGCATGCATCCCCTGGATATTATTTTATTAACTGCTACGACGCGATGTTTACAGTGAAAACAGCTGTGAGGTCCGTGCAGAAAGCATAGCAGTGTGTATAATATATATCACTCAGTATAACAGGCCTACATTACTCTCATTGTCAACAACATATGTATAATTTCCTCTTCTTAAATGTGTAAGATAAGTAATTTAAATGTAAAACATAAAAAAAATTGAACTAACATTATCAGGATGTGAAGCGCTTACGGTGTGGACGTGACTTCAAAGACGTCTATTAGTATTTTTACAGAGATTAGCATCACTCAGCATGCTCACTGATATGCATGTTTCTTGATGTTTGTATTTGTATGGTTTATTGCACCTATTGTAGGTTGCTTCGGATAAAAGCCTCAGATTAAAAAAAATGATATATTGTTACCTAATGTGATATTTAGTACTGATTAAGTACGATTTACCCCTTCAGATCAAACCCCTGATTATTGCAGTAGTTTAATCTTAATACTTACCAAGGTTGATGCTCTTCATCTCGTCTCTCTCTTCAGTCAGGGAGTTTTGCTGTGAAACTGTCATTTTCAGTGGAGAGGTTACCAACTATGATAATTGGATCAACTGAAGAAAGTATTCACTTTAAAACAAATTAACCGAGCTGGTTTTGATTATAATTATTTCAGAGCAATTATTGTTCAATGCAAATCTCTTAATACAAATACATTCACTCTGAGCACATACTGTTGAAATGAATATTAATAAAATGTCCATGAGTTGTGCAAATAACTTTTTATATTTTATATTTAAAATTGTAGGTCATATTGCACACCCTAATACACAGTGATGTGTTTTTTCCGAAAGCATTCAGAACAAGTGATCGTCATATCTTGCAAAAGAATAATTGAAACAGGGACGGTTATCACTTGCACTGGCTACAGAAGTGAGAGGCACAAATTAAGAAGACTTACTTAGGTAAACGATGAGAGCAGCTTGTAGGATACACAGGAGTCCCAAAATCACAACAACCAGTCTGTACATTTTCATTCCTGTGTGTAGAACCCAGAAACATGCACACACACGGAGGTTTATGGAGGCTGACTTGCACAAGTGGCTGTTTGAGAAACTTTACACTTTAGACTGAGATGTTGATTTTGTCTTTAATTTCTCATGCAATATATATATATATATATATATATATATATATATATATATATATATATATGATGATCTTTAAGTTTAAAATTAAGTTTAGAAAATAAGGTTATTATAAACTCAACAACTCTAAATTGTTGGACTATGATTTCTGTCTTACCAGGCGCTGCAGCAGGCACGTTGAAGTCTTCAACAGAGCAGCGGGATGCAGCTTTCCTGGCTGAGACATCTTCAAAGTTTTCGTGTATCGTGGAGAGCTCAGGTTCTTCTTCAAGGGAAACCATCTCATCAGTAGAGCCTCTGCAGAGTGCTGATGGTGTTTGTCAAAGTGTCTTCTTTAAAGGGCACTTATTTGTGATCTTCCTTTATTTAATGATTCTCTCAGCATACACCTCTCTCTCTCTCTCTCTCTCTTTCTCTCTCTCTCAAACACTCTCTTCTTCCTTATTTTTGAGTGATTTGCCTTTGTTCCTCAACTCAGTATTTTATGATTTGACTGCTGCTCCATGTGCATATCTTTGGGTACCTCAAAAACATTTTTCCTCCAGGAAGGAAAACTCTACTTTGTCATTACTGATCATGTTAATGTTAATTAGGTAATTAATGATCACATTAGTTTGTTTACTTTGTTCATCAAAAAACAAGCGAGACAATCAAAATCCATAAGCAATGGCCTCTAAAGTGAATGCAAAGCCTAATCGGCTCAATGCTAAAGTGTTTAAGAGCTGGTTTAAAAAACTCTGAAGTTGCTGTAAAGTTGTGTAAATCTAAATCATAATCTGTTTTGATGCATATCTATGCATATTGATGCATTGTGTTATATTAATTATGTGATGTGTACTTTATTGCGGTGTTGTATTAAAAGCTATATATTTTAACTACACTATACATATACAATGAAAATAAGCAACAATCCTCTGTGTAGCACATCAGATATAATAGTTAATGACGGGTATGGCAAAGGCCAGAAAGTTGATAGAGAAGCAGCCGCGCCGAGATTGCAAAGTGACTCGAACGCGGCCATGCAAATACATAAATATAAACGTCATGCAACATAAACCAGACATATGCATATGATAATAAATACTATTCTTCGTTGCCTAAAACTGCAAAACCACTCTTGTTCTTCCTGGTTTGAAGTCAAATGGTCTCTCTTCTTCCTTAATGTTCACAACTCGCTTGCTGTTACAACCTCTGCTGCAGCTTTGACGTATTGATTCTTGTGTACCTTGTGTAATTTGGACTTTTATTCACAATTCACACTTTTTTTTTACTTCCTAAGAAAATCATCATTATTGTTTATCAGTGACACATACCTGTAATGCAAAGAAATGTCATGTTTTTTAATTTATTATTATCTAAATTACTATACTCTACCCTTATGTATTTGCACCAGAACTGGTTATTTCTGTACTTATTAGTTTGACAATTTTTCAAAATATCACTTTTTGACCACATTCACAATGACATTATCACCAATATCCGGTGTAAAATAAACCCCTGTAGTTAACTTACATAATCATCCAGTAGTATGCCAACAAGTACTGACATTACTTCTTTACAACACACTCTGAATTCTTTTTTTAATAAAATAAAAAATAGGAGAACATTGAAAGCATAGTTTACCCAGAAGGGAGAAGATGTACTGTAGTTAGGGTACAAAAGTGCACTTCCCGCTATAATTTGAGAACTTCTCTTGTTGCAACATTAATTTCTCATATGACTTATGAGTCATTGATTTTGAATAGAAAATAAAATCATTACATCTCTAAGACACAAAACCAGGACGTGATTTCAAGTTGGCATGATTGAAATAATAGAATCTAAAAGAAGGCAGCCAATATTATAATCTCAAAAGCAGAAAAAATACACTTTTAGGCCTTGTAATTACAGTTTTTAAAAAATGAACATTAATCCTAAATCTGAGACATGACGTGACTCCAGATATCTACGTGAGAGTCCAAACCCTCGCCCACCTGGACCTCCACATTTGGATTTAAGCTGAAAATGAGAAATGCATCTTGTTCCTGTTTTTTCATCATCGTTTTGTAGGACTAGATGTGGAGTTATGCAAATCTCTTCTCACATATCCATCCACTTGTATTATAACTGCAATGTTTATCTATCCAGCTGTTTACACCACGGTAAGATATTTTTGCACAGTCTTCGTCCCGCTTCGAACTTCCATTTGGCTCACCGGTGGACCAGTAGCTGAAACCCCCAAAGGAAAAATAATAATAATACATTTCAACCTGACATCAACTCAAATCAAAATGCTTTATTGAGATTGATAGAGATAGAATAATAAATGTCTATCCTATGTCTGGTTTGTTATCTGACCTGAAATAAGCTTTTAAAGGACATCACAAAATGTAGTTGTGTTCAGAGAGGTTGGTAGGTTACTAATATACAAATAATTTCTCACTAATGTGAAAATAACATAACTATGACATGAAGCTGCAGAGCGAGTGTCTGTAACAGCTCACCTTGACAATAGAAAAGTGAAATAATGAGTGAACCTTGTGGTCAGCGGAGTCCCATCGACCCACTTCCATCTGCCCTCTGTCTCTCGATCAGTGAGTCCAATCCACAGCTGCTTAGGAAAATGTATTACGTAGTCCTTAAACGCAAAATCACAACCACTTCTGTGACACACACACAAACCAAACACACACACACACACACACACACACACACACACACACACACACACACACACACACACACCTGTTCTTCTCTGTTGTTGACAATCATCAGATCTGCCCCTTTTTGGAGACAGTCATCCCTACTCTCTTGCCAGTTTTTCCGGATAGAAGAAACTGTATAGAGACTACCGCTGAAGTACTTCCATCCTTTTTTTTTTTTTTTTTTTTTTTCTGATTTTGCATTTTATTACATCACAGTACAAACAACAGACATACAGTACACTCCCCCACCCCCCACCCACAACAGAGAGGGTGATACAAACAATAGCAAAAAACAAACAAAAACAAAAACAAAAAAACACAATAAAATGGTCACTAGTGCATGGTAATAACATCAGTAACGACTGTAATACTTATGTATACATTCGAGAAATCTGTCGATGCATAAGGCATAGAGATTTGTTCAGGTTATAATGTCCTTCATTTATTAGCAGTCACAAGACTAAATAAATAGGCGCGTTCACACCAAGTACTTTTCCCACAATAGTTCATGAGAACTCAGTTCATGAGAACTCTTTTAGTTCTGATGAACTAAAGCAGATCGCGTTCACACCAAAATGAGTTCCTGGGGGTGGATTAGGCAAATGAACCGCTGACGTCACTTCTTCTTCTTCTGCTTTGGGTTTACTGGCAGGCCGCAAACAACTTCACGGCGAGTACAGTAGGTGGCGGTATGCACCTTAAAGTTGCAATCCGCCAAAAAACCGAGAGAAAAAGAAGAAGAAAAACCTCCCGCGTATACTGCTGCGCCCACCTGCTGTATATGAGGCGTCTGTTTACCTTCCGACTTCAGACATGAGCTTCGTCTGAGTTATTTAAGCAAACACAAATACAGATCGTCGACCAGTCAAATGCAATAGCAATGCTGATTCGGAAGCGAAGGCGGTTAAGAAGGATTGACAAAAGGATTGGACGACGACATGCACGCGCTATGGATTGCGTAACCTGTGTGAAATGAAGAAACTGTGCCAGGTGTGTCGTATGCACACTAAATAGGCTCAGCAGCTAACACACCTTTATTATATATCCTCCTGAGAACTGCATCCGTCTGCCATGAACCCTACAGAAACCTACGTGTTAGTTTTGGCCCATAGTGGCCTCCATTTGTGTCGTGTAATATGGGGGAAATCAAAAGTTAGCAAATCCCCATGTCATGTTCATAAAAACATTTAGTTTTAGGTCAAATAATTATTACACTGCTCTGAAACTCACTACACTAACTCCTAAGATGTTCCCTTACTATAATTAACTAAAATATTGAACTCACAACACTGGTAATTACAAACTTAACCATTTATTTCTATAAATAAATAGTGCTTGTGTTGATGGACGCCATTTTGAAATACAATGAAATTATCTTTTTGAAAGCCACAATAAATAAAGCTTCGCCAGTTTATAACCGATGAAACATGATGGTATCAGAATAATCACTTACATGTGATGTATAGGATGCTACACAGGTCACTGTAAAGATAAAGTGTCAGAGGAGAAATAAGCAAGCTTAGTTACATGAAATGTAATGAAAAATGTAAGATACAGGCTCTGTTTAATCGCCATGTAGGTTCTCTTTTATTGCACACTCAAGACAATATCAAAAACGGCATCACGCTGTCCCAGGTGTGTCGTATGCATGTAAATAGAAGTTAACATTTTCAATATAATAGAAGATAGAAAAAAAAGAGCAAAATAGAGGGAAATATTGAGAGCAGCTTGTAGAAAATACAGGAGTCCAAAGCTCAAGTGTCTATTTCACTTTAACAATTGACTTTATCATTGTAAAGTCCTTCACAGCTCTCTTCAGGTCATCTCTCTCCTCAGTCAGGTTTTTGCCTCTGGCCTCCAGATCTAAAACAGAATTCCCAATGTCTATTATGTTAATCTATCAATGATAATGTATGGGTCTTTGTTTCCTTTTCTTAATCTAACACCATATGATGTTTTCAGGAAATTATTTCTGCCAAACAATCCTGTTGAATGGACCAGATAAGTATTACGATATACTGTATGTTTAGTTCAGTTAAGATTATTTGTGAAGTAAAAAAAATATTGTGTTCCCTTTTTACAGCCACAAAACCAAGAGCCAAGGCGTTTTCAACAACATCTGTTTCATTTCTTCTTCTTAAATGTGTAATATAAGCCAGAATTTATATTTAAAACGTAAAAAAGCGAACTAGCATTATCAGCAGAATGTGAATAGCCTAAAGTGTTGACGTGTCTTCAAAGACGTCTATGTGTTGTGTTGCAGAGAGATCTACGGAAATTAGCATGCTAACTGACTAGCCCCGCCTGTTTCCTGATGTTCTGAGTTTGTATCTTTATGGTTTATTGCACCTACAATATTGTATGTTGCTTGGGATAAAAGCCTCAAGCTTTTTCAAAATGGATTTTTTGTCAAAGCACTTAAGATATTCATTGCTATCGGGATGTTGAGAGCATTCCATGGAATATAACAAAAAGTGTATCTCGAGCCGGTTTCTCAAACTTACCTACCCCACCTTTAAGGGTCATATTGTTCACCCTAATGAACAGTGATATGTTTCTTGAAAGAATTGAGGGCAAGTGATCCTCATATCTTGTAAGATAATCATCTAAACAAGGTTGTTAACCA